GCGGTGGCAAGAAGGGCGGCAGCAAGAAGAGTGGCGGCAAGCGGCAGCAGCGCCCTGTGGGCAGTGGTGGTGGCAAGAGGAAGAAAGCATGAGGTGGACTGGCACCCAGAGGGACAGAGTGGCCTGCAGGGCTGAGCACGACTCAGGGCCGGGGCTGCTCACCAAGGGGCAGGAAGGGACTGCTGCTGACAGCCTCCTGCCCAGTGCTCGGCTCTCACACCTATTTGTCAATAAATATGCTCTGGTCTTTCTAAAATCAGCATTTGGCTCTTGGATAGCAGTCAAGGAGGGCAGCGTCCCTCTTCTAAGAGGAGTTGGTGGTATATCACCAGAGTCAAGTTCCCCAGTTACCCCCAGGTTAGGGGCTTTAATGGGGGCAGCCAGATAGCTCCACAGCTGGCCCTGGCTGCAGCATTTTGAGACAGACCTCAGTCCCTGTGCAGTCAAGTTGCTCTTAAGTGAGAAACACCTAAGATTGGGGCATGGAACTCAACTCAAGGGCGGTAACTGGTATGTTAAGTGCTGGTGTGATCAAAGAGAAACGCAGTTTAAGGATGAGGTACTGCCTTTTGCTTTGCGCAGTTAAAGGATGAGGTACTGCCTTTTGCTTTGTGCTGCGGGTAGGTAGCCTGACTGTGGAGCTCCTGCTTTGCAAGTCATTGTCAACTCAGTGGTATTCAGGCTCGGTTGTGAGAGGAGGGGCATGAAAGCTATTCCTGTAAGACTTATTGCAGGGCCTGAGAGGTTACAAAGATTTTATAAACCTCTGCTGATTTAAAAAAAAAAAAAAAAAAAAAAAAAAAGCTGTTGACCTGCCTTGAATTCAGCAGATAAATGTTCACATCACACAACAGGGAAAAACTCCCAAATTTCTACCTGTACTATCTCCTGAGAGTAAGTCATCATTTTTATAAAAATAGCTTCATAGTGTTTTTTCTTTACCAAAGTGTTTGCAAACAGATATTAGATATGATCTAAGACTTGTTTATAACCGTTTTAAATATAGTGTTTCCTGTACCCTTGAAATGAAAAAAATAAAATTTGCTGTTCTATTATGTGTCTTAGCTACAAGAAGGAGGATGGTCTCCTTCTCTGAAGCCAGTTCCTGCTATGAGGATAGTAAAGTAGGTTCTCAAACTTTCAAGTAGTTAAGACTGTTATCATAGCACTCTATTGCAGATGTGTTCCTGGAAGGGCTGAATAACTCTAAAGCAATTAATCTTTCATCTCACAGTAAGAGCTTGCTGAGATGGCAATTGAGTGTGATTAAAAAGCCAAAGGTCCATCTGTAGAATAGTGGTCAGGCTGGAAGGAGTAGGCATTGGTACTGAAGGATTTCAGTGGCATTAATGCACTGAGTATAATGGTGAATTTCTGTCAGCTTTACATAAAATATCTATTCTTAGCCTTTTAAAAATTTCGTACTGCTGTGTCAAGTAGTTTTTACCACTGTTGTCTGCTTCTGACTGGCCGCTGGCAGCGGTGTTTGTATGGATGTCATCCCACTGAAACCAGCTGTTCAGCACAGCTAGCAAGGCAACAGAGGCGAGAAGTCCTTGGAAATGTGGAAACAGTTGTTCTGAAATAGGTTCTAGACTTCCAGTTTTCCTGCGTTTCCATAGGATATGTCTTGTTACCTGCTCAGCTAGAAAGCATTTTCTTTTTAGAGAAGTATTTTATACTGCTGACCCACATTTTACTGGTGAATTTTCTGAAGCCAAAGACTTGTCTACAGAAATGCTGATAGTTTGTGGATTTTCAGTAGTGATTATAAAATCAGTAAAGACCAATGTAAACTGCTTCATGGGTGCTCCCGGTTTCTGAAATTTATAAATAATTTCACGTTTCAAAACTTGAAGAGGTGAAGCACAAACTGATTATACACAAATTGTATAGTCATAAACTTCACCTCATCGGTGTTGCGAGTTGAGCAAGGAGGAGTGTGCTGAACAGCTAGTTTGAATATGCTTTTATTTGCTCCATGTCTTCCATGTAATTTCATAGGGCATCTAGCGCGCTGTTGCCCTCCTTCAAACAGGTATCAGTTGGATTTTGCCGGATATATCAGGCTGACCTTGCAGCGTTCATTTTGGGAGCCTGAATTAGCCTTACAGCTGTCATTTCAACCACGCGTTTTCTCCAGCAGTACTTTATAAGCAACTTTTCCGTACCATCTCCTCCTGGGAGGCCAGCTACCTACCCGTCCTGCACAAGCCCTTGCTTTCGGTAAGCTGCGCAGTCCCTGCTGAAATCCGTTTGAACTTTGGCGGCCGCGTCTACATCGGCCGTCGCCTCTGCTTATCTTCGCAGAAGACCTTTAAA